CCAAAATATATCTGGATTGCACCCCAATAGGTACTTATTAATACTTTACCAAAAGGACATAATATATCATTATTGACAAATTTTGAAATAAATAGATTTTTTAAAAGTGGGAAACCTATGAACGGTAGGTAAATATTTATTTCGCTAATTGTTAATTTTATGTATCATTTGGTAATTAGTTCTTTCACTTCATTAATTAATAAATCATTCACCGATACGTGAGATTTACATTTCGATATTGCTATTCATTATTCATTCACTAATTACAGTTCCATTCACTAACTCCGTACGTTCCGCTTGAATAATATGCCGTATGAATCGCCATACCTACGCTTTATATAAGTAGCCGAAAATCTCCAAAAGTATGTCACCAATTCTCGAGCACAAAGTCGGTGACAAAGCTTCCTATCTATCCTGTCGGGATGACAATATTTCGGGAATATTTAGCCGGAAGTGAGAGTGCGCGCGCATTCGCCTCTCCAGAGGCACGCGTCGCGACGCCTTTCCGTCCATACCGACGCCAGTCGTCATTCATTCGTCGCCGGCGTCGGTTGGGCACCAAGTTCGAATCAGCGCCGATCGCACGTGATCCACGAACCACGCCGTGAATACGAAATAAACCACGATTTTTCTCAAAAATTTTTATTGGGCCGTCCTGTCCTGACGCCCTTTCGTGTGGGTTTCATTGACACGTGATTGCGAAAAAGAGCATAAATTTTTGAGAAACTTGCGTTTCCAAGGGGAAATTTGGGTTGTTTATTTGAGTTGTATCAATTCATTTTTTGAAAAAGTGGTCGGTTTGGTGAATAGTGTTGGTACTATTGTATATATTTTCTCGTCAAAATGCTGTTCCTATAGGAATTGTTTCGGTAAATTACTTGTATACAAATAATTTTGTACTTAATGGGTACTTAACATAATTTTTTATATTTCGTAAATTTTGTGTTAATGCATTTCTATTGCTTAGGTATACAAAAGAGAGTGAATGGAAAAACGGAAAATATATTTATTTAGCATTTAAAATTAATTACCAACGTTACTAAAAAATGTAGAGTATAAACGTAAATAGTAACTTCAATACAATGTACTTGGTAATATTGATAAGTGGCGGTACAAGTAGAAAATTCTGAGTATTATTATAGGGTCAATACAAATGTAGCAAATAAAATATTACTCCAATTTTTCAAATGAACCAACTTAATATTTTTATAATAATACATTAAATATTGTATATAACTACGTACAATTTAAAAAAATATATTAATTACTTAGGTACCTTAGATCTTTTTTCTATTTTCACTTTAATCAATTTAAAACCAGCAATATGCGAATAGATATAATCTCTAAGAATTCTCATAGAACGGATTTATTATTTTTTTATGATTTACATAGAAGAGTAAAATATTGCTCAATTTGAAAGCTTCCATCGGATTCCATTCCCCCGGGATAACTTGCTTTCACGTGTATATACGTTATTGAACTGATTTACTTGAATGATTTATGTCGAAAACCAGAAATCCCTCGAAACAAACCATAAGGGAACGAGCCCTTTCTCTTGTTTCGTAAATATACGGAGTAGCATTTTATTAAAATTCAATAACTTTTTTTTGTATTCCCTCCTATCTCATCGCTTTCTCGTTATACATTATTCTAAGGAAAATTTACTTCGCCCAAAGAAAAACTCAAGTGAAATTTCTGCCCTTCAGAGTATCTGAGTGCTTCAAAAAGATTTCCCACGGGGTAGTCCCTATTTTGTACATATAATATACGAAACCTGTGATACCTGTAAAAAACGGGTTCAGGAAGCAAGAGGATCTACGTTTTAGGTGCCTTATGGTCGAAATATTTCCATCATTTCGTAGAGATTTTAGCAAGTAAAATTTACTAATACCTAATAAGTTTTCATAGGCCCTCGATAAAGAACCAAGTGAAATTTTTCTAAGTCAATTTCATTCAATTTCGAACATTGTAAAAATATACAGAAACTTTTCGCAGCAAACATAAAATTTTCATAACGGCTGAAAACTTTTACTTCGTTATGGCGTATTTTCGTTCGGAGTGTTCTTTAAAGTTTCGACAGATTTCTGCAAAACAATGATTGATTGGTACGGCTCGCCGTTTTAAGTGGTGGAAAATTTGTATTTATAACGCGATATTTTTTCCGCTTCCAAATTGGATAGGGACGATTTTAAATTGGAGATTTTTCTGTCGTAATAACTTATACATAAGTATTTCTTTAAAATAATTTACTAATGGATCTTCGTATATTTAATTGTCTCATTGCGATTTTTCTATTGTAAAAATATAGTCTCTTATATTTCCAAAAAGCAAACATTTTTTCATGATAACATCACTAATGTGTAAATATTAAAATTGCCTTAATTAAACCTCTCTTTGAGAGATGTTACAGTCTTTTCTGAAGCTCTAAACAATTTATCCCAATTAATTACTCCTCCATATACCTAATTAATCGATCCACCTTAATTGATAACCAACTCATCTCTTTTAATAACCATTCACAATACATAAAACATAAATTTGAAGGAGCTAGTGTGGATAGTACGAGGGGCGCTAATCTAGTTATATACTTAGTACAAATGATTCAGTATCCAACCTTGGTATATTTTTCAATGAATTAACTCGATAACGTTGTGTAATATATTCTGAGTTCCTTGTATTATGGAAACGTGCGGGCTCCGGTTTGGCTGATTGTTTATTTTCAATTTACGCAAAGCATACAATTTATTTAATAATGCAAACGAGAATGTTTGGAGTCTCTGTATAAATATTTGGTGGAATCGAAGCGAGCGTACGTACATTACAAAAATCGCGTTTGTTCCACCCCCGCGTTTCTCATGGGATAATTCGTCCTCAAAAATTAACAAATGAGAAAGCTACGGGAACGTTTAGGTAATTGATATTTTTTCCAATTTTTTTTGTCCGACTCTGTTGTTTGCTTTATGTAATTGGGTTGTGTTTTTGTTTACGAATTTTTGGCCCAACCACAGGTATTGTTGTTGTAAACTTTTTCATTCGAACATTTGCGGAGTTTATTAAAATTAGAACAATGAATTCTTCGGCTGTTACATCGACGAGAAGAAAGTTTTCGGTAATTTAATTTCCATTTTCATGATTGAATATTTCGTAGCCCGCTTCGTTCCATTTCATCAATCCGCATCATACATCCCTTAAACTTAAACTCCATTTAATTAATTACGAAATTAAATCCGCAAGTAATTAAATAACACTCTTTGATAAATCAAAGGCCCTGTAAACAGAGTTATTTGATATCTGTAAATATGTTTTACATTTTAGCGCACTTAAAATCGAAAATTTGTTTACATTTTCCTAAATGTAAATCAGAGTGTCCTTTTACCAGGTGGATTTCAGGTGAACTTCAAAAGGAATTATTCAAGTACTGAATAAACAAATTCATGTTGCCAATTTATTTTCGCATAAAATTCAAAGAGTTTTTTGCCTATATTAATTTTTGATTATCTTTTCGTTAACGAAATGTAATAAAAATGCATTAAAATTATCACAAGAAAAATATTTGATCACCATTTCGTCTACCTAAAATTTTATTAAGATAAGAATTACATCAGGGAGTTATTAATGATATTAAGAGAGAAACATTTTTTTAATATTATCTAGCGATTTTCTTCTCCTTTTCAATTATTCAATTTCTGTTGTAAAAAATTTGTCTTGTCTCCTTTAATGTAGCATACATTCTCCGGGTTTATTGTTAATAAAGATGAGCAAAAGAGACGGAACCAGCATATCTTATTCCGGTTACGACGTACTTTATCACTCTGATAAAATTCGTGATTCGCGAAGTTGGTTTTATAACTTTTGTTTCTGAGATTGCTTTTGTTTCGGTACCCTACGACAACCCTAACTAAATGAAGTGGTTTGGTAAACAGTTCGTTTAGTTGATGTATGGTTATTTTTTTGGTTCTCTTCGGCAGAGTGGCGAATTCAATTCGAAGCTTTTGATACGCTAATGTAGTTGTTTAAATTTTTTGTAGCCTCCCAGTGATCCTATTAGGAGATTTAAGGATACAACTGTAAAATATTTTTTTACAAATATTCTGAACTATTCTAGTAGCATCACTTATTCAAAGATGGTGATTATTCATGAGCATGTTTGTACACACAGTTTGCATTTGATAAAATTGGTCTGGTAAAGTATGTACCGTTATCACCCATACGCGTGTGGGTGTATTTGCATTCAAAATTCATAACCTACATATACCTGTTGATGTTTGTTGATAACAAAAAAGCGTCCTCTATTTATAGAAACCGTGATGGTAAATGATTTAGGTGTGCGATGGAATAACGTAAAAAATAAATTATATATCTAGTTGAAATTTATTAGTACGCTGCTCTTCGTATGGAACGATGTCGATAACAAAAATACATTAAATACGTTGGTTAATAAATATCCCATGTATAATATGCTTGTATGGTTTTATGTTGAAAATAATGCAGGAAAAAGATTTTATAGATATTTTATTTTGTACGGGTTGTAAAACTCTGGTTTATGAACGTCGATAAATATCCCGAAATTTCAAAAATAGTTAATTAACTATTATAAAAAACAATGTTCGCGCGTTGTTCTCAAAAATACGTCCCATTACTCGGTTTTACGATTAAAATACCGCTATTTTATTATACATTTAAAATTCAGTTCGTATAAATAAATCCTCCTCCATTCTTATTTCTACAACTACAACAAGGGTTCTACATTCCGAACTAATCCATCCACTCAACTTTTTGTCTAACCCACACGCAATTACATTACGTCGAGAAAATATAGAACAAAAACCGCACCAACGAAACCGACCTCTAACTTTCCCACAGTCCGTCATAACATCGAAAACTTTCCCGGCAATCGAGGCATCGAACGATGGCCTCTTAAATGACCGTTCCGCGAACGCGTCATACGGTCTCAGCCGCTTGAATAAAAATGACGACGCCGTACAAAAAGTGACGTTTAGCGAACACAGTGGCGGGATACAGGCAGCACCACAATGGTGGGCACGGTCACCACGTGCTCTACCATCATGGCGCCGTCCTCGGTTACCAGGGCAGACACGTCCAGAACACCCACCACCACATCGCCAACCTGCCCGCTCTTTCCTCCGTTCCGCTAAATGCAAGTAAGTAAACTACTCCATTTCATAATAGTATTGAAGGTACTTGGATATAGTAAGTACCAACAGAATTTGATGGAGTCAAGTTGGACAAGAAATTGTGGTGACTCCAAAATATGACCGACAGCAAGAGAATTTTACTTTGTCCATTAAATTCTTTAATAGTGTCATATGGAATCTATTTGAGGTGGGTAAGGGTAAATTTGTTTTAATTCCAATTTAGAATCAAACCAGATTCACCCCTAAATAATTCATTTTTAATGAGTCAAGTGCACTATCGACTGCGCCACTTTATTTTAAATATTTTCTCCATCAATATTTCCTTTTCATAAATAGATTTGGAATTGTAAATCGCCGGCAAGTTGCGAGTCCGCTCGACCGACGCGTTATTTATGGGGCATAATTTTTTGGTGTATTCTTCTGTAATTTACCACGCCGCTTATTTGCTCCGTTTTTTATTTCTTAATATTCTCGGATTTGCGCGAAACTAAAAATAAACCCAGCGAAGCGTTAATCTGTGAATTATATTATTGATATCGCGGAAAATGAACGGGCACTCCTGCGAATATTTTTAGTAGTTTCGCACGAAATTTTTAGGATGTATTCGGCTACCCCGCAATAAACGATAATTTTAGCTGCTGTTTAGTTTCACACAGGTAGATCCGACATTATAATAATACTAGAAACGTGTACAGAACAAATAACTGTGTAATTACTATATTTACATGTGATTTATTGGTGTGTTTTTGGCTTTTGGGAAAAAAACTATTTCTGAAATGTTATGGTTTTAAACTCCCACGCTGTTCATTTTTCAATTAGCTACTTATCACGTAGTTCACATAAAAGCATATACTGTATATAAAAAATTAACTAAATTAGCAAGTGGCAAAGGTATGTATGTTTTGAATACATTAGAAAATTTAATTTAACAGGATATTTAATTTTACATTTAAGACATTAACGAAATCTGTTTACCTACATGCAATTACAAGATGTTAATATTAGACACAAATCGCGAGCGAAAATAAACTCACCTTGTATTTGTTCTATTTTCGGACATAAATCAACTATCGCTTAAATCTAATATTTCTTCCCGTAGTTACTTTATTAATTTCATCGTTCCATCGAAAAATCGAAAGTAATCCGCCTGATTGGTTTGACTGCGCGTACCCGTCATGTGTCTTATTCATATTTTTTACGAAAATTTTTGTTTTGTGCAAGGCCAAACTATCTAGTGTTTATATTCGAAGTTAATGGACTATTAAAACTTTAATCCTATCATGTAATTGGATTGTAAATTTAGGACGTTAAGTTAAAATAGGTTGTTAATTCAGTTATTTGCCTATATTTATATTCCAACTACCTAAATAAAATACATGCAGAAATAAACCTCAGATATCCTTGGCAATACAAAAGGGAAGCAGAATATTCCATAAATATATTTTATACGGGCACTTACGATACCTACAGATTTTATAAGCAATCAGTTCAAAACGAATTTTCCAGATAATGATAAATATGCGTATATACCTGTTATAAAGCGCTTTTAAATTGAAATGGGATTTTCGCCCGATAATTTTACTACTGTAAAATTAACACTCGAGGGAATTCCTCTGGCGATTTATTTTAATCTATGATTTTTTTTCTATAAAATGATAATTAACCTACAACCATTCAAAAAAATATAGGTGAATAACATTTGTAATTCAGAAAAGGGATAAATAATAATATTAGATTAGGTAATATTATTGATATTTGATGATTTTTATTTTAAACACGATCTGTAGTACCTTGGTGCTTAATTATTGAATAGTCCACGAAGGCAAACAATTCTGGAAATTGCCGAACGGACACATTCTCGTATGCACGCGTCGGTTATGGCGACCCCAAAATATTAATTAAAATTTAATTCGTAATTTTCCGCGCAGAAACGGTCGATTTCCATGCGTTTTCGCTACGAAATTAAAATTATTTTTCGACTAAATTGCCCAAAAACGGATTATAGAATTTAATCGAACAATAGATAGTCGTCATCGGTTTCGAAATTGATTCCGAATTGCCGGTTCACGGCAATTTTCCGCGTTCCCGTCGAACAATTTCAGGAATATTTGTAAAGGGGACTGTCTCGTATTTCGCCGGCAAAGTGGGCATTAAACGGTTATTAAATGTCGATGTATTCAAATTCACGAATGACTTCATACAATTCCGTATTGATATTGCATCTGCTAATAGTCCCTAAACAATTTCGGTAATGGAGGAATCGTCCTATCGCCCTATATCCATTAAGGATCATAAGTAAAAGCGAAAAATTCCAGTACATCGACCACTAACGTCGACGACCCCCGCATCTATTTTTAGACCACGGTTTCCCATTGTGCACAGTTAATATCAGCTGAAAAGCGGGAGACATCGATGAAAGTGTCTCGGGAGTCCCGTGAGCCGTGTCGGGACACTTTTCCTCTTTTACCGACGCGAATTCCGGTTCGTTAGGCGGGAACGTCGACCGCACCGACACCGGCTTTACTCCTTTTCAGGGCCGCCGAAACGGGGGCCCCGCCGGAGAGACAAATTACAGACGAGGATCCCGACTAATGGGAGTATTCGGTTTACTGGTCGGGTCGAATTCCAGAAAAGTTTCGCTCGACGGATTAGGTCGCGCGAAATTGAAAGCTATTCGTCCACACAAAAATTATTTTCCCTGACAATAAAAATGTGGAGAAAAATACAAAAAAAGATATCAACTTGCCTACTATACAAACATTTATAATTACCTATGCTTTGATTTTATTGCAACAATTAAAAATTAATAATTTGCAATAAAATTTGAGTAGGCTTGTATATAAATTATAGATATACGTATCGTATTAAATTAATAGAATTATGTTATTGAAAAACGCAGTGTTTGACGGTGGGCGAAATTTTAATCAACGCGATTAGTTCTGCATTTATTATCCGCTCACCCAGAAATATATTTTTAATTAAATTATTTTAATTACAACGTGTGAAACGTCCAATAAATTATCGAACATTTATATTTCCATTGAGTCAATATTAATATCCGGAAAATAATAATGAAACATTTTCATAAATACACATTCGTCGGCGTACGGTGATTAATTCGTCTAAAAATTACTGTTAAATAATAATTTACCGAAACTCGCAAAAAAGATTTAATTTCCATAAATAATGAAATCTATGGAATTGAATTTTGAATAAAAAAAATCGGCGCGTCAATGAACGGTTTGCCCTAACAAATGGCTTGCAACAAATAGGGAGTATCAATCATTTATTTCCGGTACAGAATATAATATTGAAAATTGGATTCACTGAAGTGATAAATGATTTCTGATACATTCCTGATGCAAATCTGTGTAATTTTTCAGCTTAATGCTGAACATTCCGTTTTGCTACCTTTACCATTACTTCAATAAATTAGTATTTTCGTTTTAGATAAAGGTTTGGTATCGTCTTTCAGATCAATATTATATCTAAAAATTTACACGATTTTTGTGTATGTAACTATAATTCTGCGAATTCATTAAGAACGTTCATTTTTATAGATTTTCTTTGGCGTTCTTATACTTTTCCCTTTTAGCTTGTTGTTAATGACGTTATTTTTCCGGCAAACATTAATTTCGGTCTTATCACAGTTTTGTATATTCTCAGCTTAATTCTAAAACTTAATTTCTTATCTTTTAACAGCTTTTTATTAGGATAAAAAGATCTATTGCCTGCTTGTTATCTCTCTTGTACCACTCCATACAGGAAAGGGAAGATTGAAGAAAACTTGCGCTATTTCCTACCAGATATTAATTAATAATTATTTTTCGCTATTACATCACAATTTTCGAACGTCGGAACATGTGATGAATTTCCGATATCCTCATTTATGAGATGCACGTTTTGTTCTGTTGTTCATTTCTCTGTGTGGCTTTATAATTAAAGTTTAGGAGTGAAGGTTGCTAATGTTGCTGTCATCAGTAACATAAAGTTTTGCATTATTCTGTCTAGTATTAATCACAAATAGGTGGTACTTTATTTGCAATTCTGCAAATTTTATAATTTGAAGGACTGTAAAAAAATCAAAATATCGCTTCTTTGTATTTGAATTATTGGGACACTAATAATTGCATTATTAAAATTTGCAACATTGTACCAAACATTTATTGTAATTGGGGTCAAAGGATATAAAAGATAATGTCCATTCGGAACATTACATAGCCATTACCGCTTCAATTGTTTCATAATCATTGGAAATAAATACAAACAAGCCAAAATGGGCGCAATCGTTCCAAATATTACAAATCACTTATAACTAATTTATTTATGGGACAAATAGCGGAAAATAGCAACGTTTATACTAATTGACAATTAGTTTGTTTCCTGTATCAAAGATACACTTGCGAATGATTAAAGGGAGCATGAACTATTCATTGACCGTTTGATTGCGAAATTGAATATTTAACATTGTTTGCGATATTAACGAAACTGTTTATTTTCCGAAATTTCCACGAAGAATATTCATGAGGTCGGTGTCTCGCGAAAAAATAGTGAGAAACAACAAGAATTATTTCGTCGTGCACAGGTAAATTTCGAGCGATATTATAATTGCAAATTTCGGTTTCGGCTAAACGAATTGGTAGGGAGTATCCAAGTAGCGATAATCATTTTAATTTAAACATTGTAATGAGGCATAAACGACCGGTGAACGCGAAAATTTGAATAAAAAGAAATTTGCGCGCAAAGAAAAATTGTTGAAAATTATTCTTTGACTTTCCAAATAACAAATTATCTGCCCAGTTATTTTCCCCCTTTTTTACTTCCCCCCGACTTTGTAACATTTGTAAACTTTCCCTTGCCGCTTTTCCCCGGCATTATGCATGAGTTTTTTTACTTAGAGAAGGTGTTTGTGTTGTAGATGCGCGGTTTTTTTGTGGTTTAGGACGCATCTCGATGTACGTGAATAAATTATCCGCATGCCTAACAAAAAAAATAATTATCAAAGT